TACTTCTCCGCATACCAATGGGGTCAGGGTTGGATGACTTGCGGAGTCCGGACAAATATGAGCGGTTTAAGGATTGGCATTGAAGATGCCCTTATAAAACTTATCGTGTGAAACAGCATGATGGCATAGCATGGTTTGTCCCTTTATTAAAAAAATAGGACAACGCTAACACCCACACGTGTAGTAGGAGCGAAACCCGCTCACACGCCCTATAACACACAGACTGTGCCACATCACCGCATACATGCATGTGGAAATCTTTTTGGATTTTCAGTTTTTAAAATGTTTTATCTCTTAGATGAAAAATTCAATTGAAGATTCGTTTTCACCATTAAATCCCTCACGACGAGATCTTTGAACTAGATCTCATATCAATATATTTCAACGAATTTTTGAGGTTAAAAGTTGCCATGTCTATTACACATGAATTGCCATGGTGTTTACACTAAAGTTTTCATGATATGTTTTAGCTATTTTCTTCTATATTTAAAAGTAATTTTTTACATTTATAAAACGGGGAATTAAGAAAGTAGACTTGCCATGAACCATAAACTAAAATTACCATGCTACACGCATTTAAAATTGCTATGGTTCATACAAAAAATAATTTTCATGGTCAAAGTACTCGAGTTGCCATCATCAAAATACTAAAATTGTCATGCTCTACAAACTGAAATTGTCACATGGCAATTTTAGTTTAAGCACTATGGCAACTATAGTGTAAACATAATGGCAACTTTTGGGCAAAAAATCGTCAAAACATATCAATATGGGGTCTAGTTTTGAAGATCTCGTCGAGACGGATTTAACAATGAAAACAGATTTTTTAATTCAATTATTTAATTAAGAGATAAAATATTTTTAAGCCGAAAACCAAAAAATTTCTATTGATGTCATCTGTTCACATGTGACAAAATGAGTGATAAAGAAGAAGTGTGGGCAACATGCAAGATACTACACGTGTGGGCATGCTAAAAAAGCATGACCAAGATTTTGTTTTGACATTCTGACCAAGATATTGGTTTAGACAACTACTAAATGCATACATGCAGTTGATATTAGATAGGATATCAATTACACATTAATTATTTGATTAGCACAAATGTTAATCTTTAGCATGATATTAATCGCATGTTAAACATGCTGAGCGCACGCCATTGAAGCAATCTAGGTTGTTGGATTGACATGATTTGACGACAGAGATTACAGCTCGACGAGTTCCTAGTGTCGGCCAATAAAAAAGAATATATGCATCCAGACTCCGGGGTAAATACATGGAAAAGACATGATGCATTCATCCAGGCCTACCGAAACGGCCAAACCTACACCAGCTTCATTTCATCAGCATAAACAAGGAAATATTTTAGGTAACCACATAAACCTGAAACATGAGTTTTGCACAATCTTCTTGCCCATGTTCTTACTAGTTTCATTTGAGATGAATGATTTACTTGGGACTTGCAAAGATGGTAAAAAGATACTTGATGCCACTTGGATTGACTTGCCATGTCGATGTTGCCAGGGATAAAACAGAACAGAGCATCCATAAAAAAAACTCAACGGAAATGACTACCCTACAATTTACGGAGACGCTAATCAAAACCAGAGAGTCTGTCTAACTGATCAGACCAGAGTGTAGTGTGGGAGCTGCACCTACTGGACTAGGGCATGCCTGCCATAGCCCACAAAACATTTTATCCGAGCAGTATTTGTTCGACAAGTACCATAACAGTGCAAACCATGATAAACATGTGGCCAGCAAAGGGTCAACCAATACAAAAGATTTCTTGCGTAGGTATCATTTTTGCTGTACTATATCTCCATATAAGGTAACAAAGTAAGGTAATGAACGCAAATATAGCAGTCTCAGTTCTGCATGCAGCATTGATATACCAACCATAGATCTGGTCCGGTTGCCAATATCACATAGCAATGCACCAAGCAAAAACGAAAATTTGTCCCCCAGAATGGCTACAAAGACTAAACTGAAATCTGTACCTGTATAGGAGCACACGTTACAGGCAAATATGCCTTATTCAACTTAATTTGAAAGGAATGGCATCAGCGGATGTATCACTAGCGTAGGTTCAAACAATTTTAATGGCATATACCATGCTACTACAAACAGAAATGCCACTTTGTAATTAATAGATCGCTGAAGCCCATGCCTAACGCAGCTAAATCATCAGAGAAATGCCACTTTGTAATTAATAGATCGCTGAAGCATAATCCCTTATGAAATAGATCTGACAATCAGCCAACAGAAACGACTTGGCAATAGTTTTCTACTTGTCATGCTAATTCAAGGGTAAATATCAATGATCCAGCTCCCACAGTAGGGCTTTCACTGACAAATGCAGCTACTTTTCAATAAAAAGAAGCCATGATTCTTGAGATGTTTCAACAAAAGGCAATAATATCCAGCAATGTGAAGGAGAGGCTAATCCTATTGGGGAAAGTCAAATAAATGTAAGCACTTAACAGGGAAGCTGGAAACAACAAATGTTTAGTTAAGATACTTGCTGAAATAACTAGCGTTGATGGCCTCATTCATTAATCCTTCATGTGTCAGTTGAAAATCAAAACTCATTTTCTGAAAAACATGACATAATGCCATCACATCTTGCATTGCTCTATGAGAAGGGCCTTCCACAGAGATCTCATAGCGTTTGCATAGTGACTCCAAGTTTAGGAGATGTTTCTTATCTGCAGAAAACAGTAAAATTCTGTGTAATTAAGGTTATTTCTGTTGTGGATTTACCAAATGGTACAATGTAGGTAACTAACTGGGACTGCAAAAATGATACGGGCATATGATAAAAAGCAAAAAAAAAACACTTGGCCACCTCAACAAAAATGGTCCTCATATTCCCAGAACCAAAGGACAACAAATAAATAATAAATAACAGCACAAACATGGCACCTTTTATATGAGGACACAAACATGGGAAATGGAATTGCATTACAGAAATCATGGAGTACAAGAAAGAATCTCAAAACAGAAAACCACCCTTGCAAGCAAAAGTGCTACACCCTAAACCCGATGGTATGAAGTGTTTTTATACCCAACAGCCCTGGAGTAAAATGATGTACCATTTGATGCTGAAAGCTTGGGCAACTTCCTTGCCAAACAAAGGGTGTCAACAAACAGCCAATCTTCGGGCATCTGAGCTGAACAACGGTCAAACTCTTGGGCCAGGAAAGGGCCATCAAATCTTTTTACATTATGAGCAACCCATATAACTGGTTTGCCAGGAGTTTGGCGGCTTCGAACAAACGCCAGTAGTAATGGAAGTACATCACTGAACCTACATTATTCAGATTAAGATAACACTTAGTGGTTGTTTGGATAGCAAGTATAAGACACGGGGATTTAGAAAACGAGTTTTTTGTTGCCTTTTAGCAAAACCAGTTTTACTAGATATTTTATGAATAACCAGTTTACAGAAAAACATGTTTTGATACCCCACGCATCCCATGACCTTCTCTCTCTTTCTCAAACTAGCCATTAACGACCTCCAAGCTCCAGCCTAAGCCTCGACGATTCCGGCCTCAACCCCTAGACGCTGCTGCTCCACTCGGGTCGGCCTTGACGACTCCCCGCGCGGACGCTGGCGAGCGCTTCCCTGTTCGCCTAGCTTGCCGTTCCTACATCCCTACGTTCCACGTCGGCTCCCGTACAAGCTCTGCCCGGGGATGGACATCCTCTTCTGTGTGGCCGGTGCGTCTCTTATACCAACGTGATATCGGTGCTACGCACCAGCAGGTAACGGCACCCGCCGCTGATAGCGTTAACTCGTCCTCCCAGCACCGTCGTAGCTCCGGCGCCAGCGAGCGAGGTCCTTAGCGCGAACGCGTCCAGTGTGCCCCACAACGCTGGACATCCATGAACATCAATATCCTGGCAGCGGCAGATCGCAGAGCTCGTGAGGGTGCTCGACGCCATGCACCGTGATGCCCCTAGCAGTCAACCAAACGACGGCGGCCTTGCCGAGGCTGGAGGAAAAGCGTGGGCACGTCGTGCTCCAGGACCATGAGTGAAAGGGGCAGCGCCGTGCCGTTGGGGAGGTCAGCAGGACTACGAAGTCGCCAACAACGTGGCCGTACAGAGCATAGTCGCCGCTCCACCCAACGCCGCCGTCCGCCGTGACGTTCTGTCGTGTCTCCTGACGTCGCAGGTCAGACACCGGTGCCGGCACCAGAAGACGTTCTTCTCCACGGAGCTCCGCGCCATGCCCAGGCGCACCCAAGACCCATTTTTCTAAAACGCGTTTGCACAAAAACGTCTCGGAGCCGTTTTTCCAAAAACGCAGATTTTGGGTATTACGAGAACCAAGTTCTGCTTATCCAAGGATTAGTTAGATTACCCAAACAAAGTTTTAGTTTGTTAGACTCCGAAACATGTTTATAGCTAATTGGTTCTCTAAAAACTAGCTATCCAAACAACCCATTAGAGCAAGTTCAGTGTTAACAGAGTCAGACATACAAAGAACCAAATATCCACTGTAAAAACTTACAAAATGCACAAGATTTTCTAAAAAGAAAGACTCAGAAATGTTTACTTACTAGTAGTATGGATAGTTATCAAAACACGACAACCAAATTTACTGAACAAATAGACTTACTTTCGTATGGCCTTTGTTGACAGCAGCATGTCGAGGAACAAAAAAGTTGGGCATGCACACAGGCGTGCAAGTGCGCGTGTGTCCTAATTACTGACAAATTCATTACATTTGGGCTTGGCGACTAATGTGAAGGAACGGGATGTCGTGGTGGCATTGGGAATAACATGAGTGCATTGGAAGAGAAACACACCTCGGGACATCAGGTCTGCACACCAAATCAGTGTTAATGTTATTGACAGTTGCAAGGTGTCCAGGAACATCCCTCTCAGGATTAAGGAGAGTTTCAAATGTGCTATTCTTTCCTCCACAAAGATCACGGACTGCAAACTCAGTGATTCTATTACCCTTCTGTACATTACCAGTGATCTTCTGGAAATAACCAGTGGTCTCAATATCAAAGATAAGAAGAGGCACAGATGGCTCATGTTCAGAAGTCTGCTGAAACTTTAATGGCTGAATTCCGGAAATACATGAACCCAGGCTAGCACTGTGCAAACTAACTGTCTCTTGAGCACGCCTCTCATAGCTTTTTGGATCAAGCAACTTTCCAGGTGACAATCCAGCATATGGAATAAGCACCCTGGCAGGGCAACTACTCAACATGCTGTTCCTCAATTGACTGAAGCGAAAAAGCAATGCCATTTTGTGTCGTAAGTGTGCTTAGAATTTAACAGACAAAGTGGACGCCCTGTGGCTTAGATGAACCACATCAAACGCCTGCATCAATAAAACAACCATATATAAGAGTAGATATCAAAGAACCAATGACTTGGTTTCACCGTACAAAAGTTTTAAGCTGGAAAACACGAAATGTAATCTTTCGATTCTAATATCAGTCAGGTTGGACAGATTGAAGTCAAAACTGCCAGTTGTAGTGTGGCAGATGGTACATACAAGGCATCTACTCCCTCCGTTCCTAAATATAAGCTCTTTTAGAGATTCCACTACAGACTACATACGTAGCAAAATGGGTGAATCTACACTCTAAAATCCGTCTGTATACATCTGTATGTAGTCCATATTGAAATCTCTAAAAGGGCTTATGTCTAGAAACGGAGGGAGTATAAGACAGCCTATAGATCCAAATATCCTATTTTGAATGAACTCATTAGCACCTGTAACTTTTAGTATCCTTGAAAAAAAAATACTCCCTCCGTCCCATATAATATAAGAACGTTTTTCAAGTTAACATAGCTTGAAAAACGTTCTTATATTATGGGACGGAGGAAGTACTTTTTAGACAACAACAAAAAAACAAGTGTGTATTTAAAACGCACTTCCACTTGTCGCTGAACGCATGACTGAATGTACAAGCATGTCACCATACCAATATACTCCCTCCTTCCCAAAATATAAGGCGCCAGTTGACTTTTTTGGTCTTTGCTGCACAACTTTGACTATTATTTTCACGTATTGTATGTCTATAAAATTAGTATACAGACATATGAAATAAAATTATTTTGCAAGACAAATACGATGATGCCATTTATAAATGTTCAGTCCATGTACTTAGATATATATTAGTGGTCAAATTCGTACATCAAAGACCATGCAAAGTCAATCGCGCCTTATATTTTGGGAAGGAGGGAGTAGAACAAAAGAGCATCTGACCCATCCAACCTACCATCCAAGTGAGCACTATCTATTATGGCCCTCGTGCGGTTATCCTCTCAAAAAATTGACCATATTGTTCGCAGATCAAGAATGGCCAGGGAATCGTCGTATTTGGGGGCTTGGAGAATGTCCAGAGCATCTTCCTCGTTTTTATTTAACAAAATGGGTGTAGAAAAATCATATTTTTTTTCGGATTGATTCCGAAATGCGGCTTCTATGATCAATTCCTTGAACTGCTACAAAGTACTCCCACCTCACTACAAGCACCACCACGGCGCCACCTTGAGCGCCCCCACCCCCACCCACACAGAGAGAGAGAAACGGCACGCACTCAGACCCCAATCTAGAAGAGGTGCCGGTAGTTTAGTTTGGGATTAAGCAAACCCGGAATGAACGGAAGCTCGTACCTCAAAAACTAATCCCCAGGGTTGCGGAGACAGCAGGGACGCGGCGAGGTAGAAGGGGGGCGGCGACTCGGGCGAGCGGTGGGGAGGCGGAGGGGCCTGGGGGGACGAGGCGTCGGCGGCGCCGCTCTGCTGCGGGACGGCGCGGCGGCGGTGCGCTGCGATAAGAGAGGGATTTCACACTCGCGGCCGCATTGGGTGGGTGGGTGGGTAGGGAATGACGGAACGAGAGCGGCGTGGATGGAGAGAGAGGAGGGAGGACGGGGAAGAAGAGGAGAGGAGGAGAGCACGCGATCTCGGCCACTCGTTTTCGGATTCGACGGCCCAGGTCGGTCGCTGCAGAACCAGTTGCTGCACGTCCTGCGGACCGCCCACGACAGCACGATCTCCGTTCCCCCAAAAAAAATTCCTTAACAGAGGACAAACTCACACGCACATACATGCTCTACCCTATAAGCATACACACTCATAAACACCTTCAAGATGATGAACCGAACTCCTCTAAAAAAATGTTGAACCGACACATCATCTTAAGGTTGACGAAGTCTTCACACACATCTTCACAGACGGGAACATCCCTTTCCATTGAATGCACATCGTCAAAAGGCTTAAAATAAATTTAAAAAAATGCAATCATCAATATTGTTTAGGACTTAAACTCTGATAAGTTGGTTTCACCAAAAAAAACCTAATCATTTGGGTGACGTTCAATTCACATTTTTCTTTGAAATTGTTGTTACGCGCAGACTTATTATAGAACTCTGCAACTCTGTGTCACCTCGAGTTGTCCTGGACTGAGAAAAGTGTACTTTACAATTAGGCCGCTTAAACTAATCATTCCACTATCTACTCCCTCTATTTCTTTTTACTCCGCGTATAAAATTTGGTCAAAGTCAAACCACACAAAGTTTGATCAAAATTACATAAAAAATATGAACATCTATATAGTATGAAAATACATTTCATGATGAATCTGACAATATTGATTTCATATTGTGAATGTTGATATTTTCTAACATAAAGTTTGTCAAATTTTATAAAGCTTGACTTTAACCAAACCTTAGAGCATCTCCAGCCGTTGACACCCCGGGAGGCATAAAAATCGCTGCCTGGGGGCGAGCCGGCGATAGAATCGGCTTTGGGGGGCGATTGGGCATCCAGTCGTCGCCCGAGTGGGGGTCTACACAGGCTCGATCGTACAGCACCATCATCTACAAGGCAGTGCACATGACATACGAAGCGTCCCCGAGTCGGCATAGCCAAGGACTCTTTAAGACACAACGAGACCACTGTAAAACCAACCGTGGATAGGCGGACGACTAGACGTCGAACCCCAATTTCATATCATACATCTGTCGGAAAGATATCCTAAGAGCTACTTGAATTCCCACTTATAAACTCCCAAAATTTTCCGGTTATGCAATCAGGTGTTGGGGATACAGGGGGAGCATAATATCTCACCCAAAGCTAGCAAATCCTACATCCAGCTGTATCCATCCTTCAACACATAACCAATAAAACTTCGGAAATCATTTACCTCAACCTTCGAAAAGCATCCGTTATACGAGTTATGGCAATACTACCGAACTCCCGCCCCAGTACTGGGTGGCGTCGAGGTTATCTCACCAACAACTGCATAAAAAAGATTTTTGATGCCGGCGAAACTAAACTCAGGTATTACAAAACTGCAACGATAAAATTGTGACGACAACACCTCGGAGCTCAACTCCCCGGGACACTGCCACAACCCCTAAATGACAGGAGGCATCAAGAACAATGTTCTTGTCACAAAACCATCGGAACGATTTCAAGATACCCGCGTGATCCTAAAATTTTTTTAGTGAAATTTGAGAAGAGAGTCAAAACTCTACGTCAGGATGCCTCACCAGAGCGACGAAGGGACTGAGGAGTAAAAAGAATTCCTAAACTCTCCGATTTATAATTCCTAAATGACTCAAAACATTTTTCTAGACTCAACAACGCCAACTATTCGATCAAGCAGGGGGCTCCTAAGGTCGGGGAAGGCTCTGATACCAACTTGTAACGCCCTTGATGCGGCTATATCTCTCACGTGTCGAAGCACGACTTAGAGGCATAACTGCATTGAAAGCAATGTCGCAAGTGAGGTAATCTTCACACAACCCATGTAATACATAAGGGAAAGAGATACATAGTTGGCTTACAATCGCCACTTCACACAATTACAGGAATAAAGCATTACATCGTCCAGATACAATCAAGGTCCGACTACGGAACCAAAATAAAAGAAGACTACCCCAAAAGCTACACAGATCCCCGATCGACCATAACTGGGATCCACTACTGATTAACTAGAACGAAACGACACAACGGCCAAGATCTTCATCGAGCTCCTCCTTGAGCTTGGTTGCGTCACCTGCATGGGTTCATCGGCACCTGCAAACTGGTTTTGGAAGTATCTGTGAGTCACGGGGACTCAGCAATCTCACACCCTCGCGATCAAGACTATTTAAGCTTATAGGAAGGGTAAAAGGTATGAGGTGGAGCTGCAGCAAGCGACTAGCATATATGGTGGCTAACCTATTTGCAAAAGAGAGCGAGAAGAGAAGGCAAAAGCACGGTCGAACAACTATGATCAAGAAGTGATCCTAGAACAACCTACGTCAAGCATAACTCCAACACCGTGTTCACTTCCCGGACTCCGCCGAGAAGAGACCATCACGGTTACACATGCGGTTGATGTATTTTAATTAAGGTCAACTTCAGGTTTTCTACAACCGGACATTAACAAATTCCCATCTGCCCATAACCGCGGGCATGGCTTTCGAAAGTTCAAAACCCTGCAGGGGTGTCCCAACTTAGCCCATCACAAGCTCTCACGGTCAACGAAGGATATTCCTTCTAGCGGGAAGAAACGATCAGGCTTGGAATCCCGGTTACAAGACATTTCGACAATGGTAAAACAAGACCAGCAAAGCCACCCAGATGTGCTGACAAATCCCGATAGGAGCTGCACATATCTCGTTCTCAGGGCACACCGGATGAGCAAGACGTCGGGTAAGCCAGCCCAGAGTTGCCCCTGGTAGCCTCGGACATCGCTCAGTTGGACCAACACTTAGAGAAGCACTGGCCCGGGGGGGTTAAATAAAGATGACCCTTGAGCCGGCCGACTCAAGGAAAGAAAAGGCTAGGTGGCAAATGGTAAAACCAATGTTGGGCCTTGCTGGAGGAGTTTTATTCAAGGCGAACTGTCAAGGGGTTCCCATTATAACCCAACCGCGTAAGGAACGCAAAATCCGGGAACATAACACCGATATGACGGAAACTAGGGCGGCAAGAGTGAAACAAAACACCAGGCGTAAGGCCGAGCCTTCCACCCTTTACCAAGTATATAGATGCATTAATTAGATAAGAGATATTGTGATATCCCAACAAGTAAACATGTCCCAACAAGGAACAACATCTCCATGTTCCAACAAGGAACAAACTTCAATCTTCACCTGCAACTAACAACTCTATAAGAGGGGCTGAGAAAGCGATAACATAGCCAAACAACGGTTTGCTAGGACAAGGTGGGTTAGAGGCTTGGTTTCACGATATGGGAGGCATGATAAGCAAGTGATAGGTATCGCAGCATAGGCATAG